TCAATACGTTAGCATTCTTCCGCACAGTATGGTTATTGTTTGAATCACACCTCCTGCTTTACAATGTGCTCATTTCCTTGAGAATACCAATGCACATACAGTGGTGGCAAAAACAATAGGACATATGACATTATCCGGTCCCATGGTGTAAGCGCTGAGATACAGGTAATGAACATTGCTGTAGTTGAAGCACGCGGCGAGAGGAGTCTGAATTTTTAAACAGATTTGCAAACAAACAAACGGGTTTAGAGATATCATCGGAGACATGCAAATGAGTCGGCAAAAACTATAGTTACAGTTCAATGCGAACTTCAATATCGCGGGAAACACCTACTCTCTTCCCGCGAAACTTCGTCAATGTATAGCATAAGGACACGAGAAACAGATAACCGGTACAGGAGTGATGCTAAACAAATTTCCACCCGTCCAGCATGCCTCGAAAACCACGTTTATCTACTTTCGAGAAAGGACAAATTGTGGTATACCAATCCAACTGTTGGCCTGTGTCACGAATCGCGGAGGAGATAGGGCGGTCTAGAAACAGGGTGAGTGCGTTTCCTCGGGACCAAGCTCGATATAATCGCAAGAACTCGGGTGGGAAGCCACGTAAGCTTACTGCAGCTGACCAGAGAAGGATCAATCGAGAGGCCTCCAAGGGTGTTTTGAGCTCCGCTGGCATTGTTAAAGCCTTACAATTGAACGTTAAGGCACGGAGAGTACGTCAGGTACTGCAGGCAAACAAAAACCTGCGATACAAACGAGTAGCGAGGACTCCGGCGATGCGTGAAAGGCATGAAAAAGCTCGTGTCTCTTGGGCAATGGACAGGATGGCCTGGAGTCAACAAAAGTGGGACAAAGTGGTGTGGTCCGACGAAAAAAAATTCAACTTGGACGGCCCCGATGGTCTGGCCTGGCCTATAAGTGGCGCGACCTTAGGAAAGAGAAAGAGTGGTTTTCAAGAAGGCACAGTGGTGGCCAAAGTCTCAGGGTTTGGGCTTGCCTCGGAGGAAATTTGAAGTCAAAGCTCGTGTTTCTGATGGGTTCGCTAGACGGCGAGAAGTACGTGCAGACATTGGAGGAAAATCTTCTTCCTTTTTCAGAGGAGCTTCCTGTCACCTGGAACTTTATGCAAGATGGTGATCCATGTCATCGTTCTAAGTTTGCGAAAGACTGGCTTTTTGACAACTACATATCCGTCTTAGATCTAAGACGGATATGTAGTTGTCAAAAATGGTCTGGGGAGTAAACTTAGAACAGTGACATGGAGCACCATCTTGCATAAAGTTCCAGGTGACAGGAAGCTCCTCTGAAAAAGGAAGGAGATTTTCCTCCAATGTTTGCACGTACTTCTCGCCGTCTTGCGAGCCCACCAGAAACACAAGCTTTGACTTCAAATTTCCTGCGAAGCAAGCCC